GAGTATAAATCATAATCTTTTAGAAAGTTGATCTAAAAGGCAACCAAGATAATCCATGGATTTTGATTTTCCAATATATCTCCAGTCTTTTGTGGATGTTAAATAATCAGGATTTTAGCTATTAAACAAGAAATTCGTAAAAATATTGGTCAATATCAACACAATAAATGAGTAAGAGACATTTAAATTTAAAAGACAATAATTGAATTACTCTCACTTTTACAACATCTAATTCTCCTGAGAAATTTTGAGCTGTTGTTCGTAGATTAGATTGTTGATCTTTGAGCTCTTTCACATTGCTTTCTAGACCAACTAGATATCAATGATTTGGGTAAGAAAAACATACCTGACACAGTACTAAAAACAAATGCATTATGCATGCAAGAGCAATACCCTGAACCAGAATGGACGAGAGTGTACACTGACGGCTCAAAATTACAAGACAGCACCGGAGCAGGAGTACACAGTAAGCTCTTTTCTCACAGCGCTCCTGTGGGATACTATATGTCAAATTTTGATGCAGAGATCTTCGCTATATCGATAGCCCTGGAAAACCTTAAGAATAAGATCAATCACTTCACTAGAGCAGTAATCCTTGTCGACTCAAAGGCAGCTATCCAGGCAGTTGCCATAAACCATGATTCAGATACTCAGACAATTTCAGATATTAGAGATAATTTGATTTTTCTTGTATGCCCTTTACTGGACAAACAATACCAAGAGCGGGGTGATTTGTGTAAACTTTACTGGGATGCCAGAGATCACATGAACTCTCTGTAAAGACTACTTCTCATTCTTCACTGTATATATATATATATATTTTTTTTTTCTTATATAATTTTTTCTATGTGTTCTTTTTGTATTAATATGTGTTTGTCATGTGTTTTCTTTGCTTGTTATTGTAATTTTGTTCCTTTTTACTCCTTGTTTAAGTCCACTTAAAGTTGAACATTGTATATGGATTAATATTTCCAATAAAGCCATATGTAACAACATTGCTTTCTAGAGCTGTCATTTTACTTTCAAACTTAGCAACACTTTAAGAATAAAAATAAATGATTATTTACAGTACTTTTCTAAAAACAGAAATTACTGTATTTTTCACATAAATGATAGTACGTTTTTTTAAAAAATAAACAAATACATCAATTAATTTTATTCAATAAGTTCCAGTATTACCTTTCTTAAAATAGATTAAAAAAATACTTTAAACTAGTCATGCGCTATCTCATGATCTGCAGACCAAGACAATATCAAAAATATAAATTTTTTTTTAGAAAAAAACCTTCCAGAATTTTGAATTGCACATTTAATTTTTTTCCATTTTGTTTAATCGGTATTTTTTCTCTTTTTTTAATGAAAAGGAAACTTTAAAAAAAATATCAACTTTGCATTTGTTGAATTTTAATTTATAATTTTATGTCTAATGCTTAAAATAATTTAATTTTATTGAGTTAACTGATAAAAAAAAATTTAGTATCTAGTATATTGATGTTTCTGTATGAAAAATACTATAATTGCTAATATCTGTCTAAATACTTGGACAAGCAAATTGGTCAACCTGCTGTCCAAGTGGCCCTTCTCTTAAAAAGATTGTGCACTCCTACTTTAAACACTTTTAGGTTCTTTAGTTGTGAAACTATCTTCCGCAGTCTTCCACCAAACGCTTTTTTACAGTTTCCCGTACGAATGATTTTGCCTTCAAAAAAGATGTCTATAAATTCTAATATAAGGTATAGTGCTTTCTAAATTAATTTTCAGGATCTTCGTTAAACACTTCGGAGGTAAATTAATGAGGTCGGAAAATCATTGATAGAAATAGAAATGTTACTTAGTGATTCAGTTTCATCACACTAGTAATGATCTTTGTGCCTCAATTATAACAATTCTAATTTCAAGTTGCAGAATTAGAATTTTTAGATCATTCTAAACGAATAAAAATATCATTTCATCAGATACTGTACATTAAATGATTATTTTCAAAGAAAGATGACCCATCTTGAGTACTCATGGTACAATAAAACTATGAGGAAGCAACACCAACAGAAATCACACTTTTTAAAGCCGGAAGCTAATAGTTTTTAAAAATTGAGTTATCACAAGCAACAGAAATGAGTTGTATTTTTGAGAATAGATAAGCTTATTTAATTTTGTATAATTATTATTATTTCCAATGATAATATTCCTCTGTATACTATTTATTTTTGTAAGTTTATTCCAAAGTCAAATACTTAGAGGGAAAATTCAGGAATATTACAACATATTTTAACAGTACATTAATACATTAACAGGCACAATTTTTTTTCTTATTAATTCAAAAAGTACATCACATATACATTCAAATTATACCAATTAGTAAAATAATTTTTCATAGAATTAATATAATTATTTTTTTTTTGTTGGTGCGAAAAGAAAGACCTAAATCGACATAAAATAGAAATACTTGACTAAAAACTCAGAGACTTAGTTATTGGTTACATAAGTATATTTTTAATAGAACTATTTGATAAGGCATTAAAACTGCATTCTCAATGTATTTATTTCAAATATCAATAGGCATTTAATTCATCAAACATTGTGAGAAGAACATCAACTGTTTTCTGTAAATGAGGTTCGCTTCATTGTGTATAAGTAATACTTATTTAAATCAAGCCTGTACAAAAATTCTATTTCATAGGAAACTGAATCAATTTTAGAGAATTTTCTAAAAAATACAAAAACTGGGAGAATTGAACCAGGAGAAGCTGGCAATAAGTACTTACATTGAAGTAAAAAGTATGCATATAAATCTTAATCTAAAGATAATTTTTAAACCATTATGCATAATTACTTAAACTATTAACACTCAACATACTGCAGCACTGGCCATATTCTCACACTGGTAACCTGTTAGAGATAAAATAATTATTTTCGCCATCAGTGGATATTTGATCGCCCAAAAGTTTTTTTTTTTAAATTTCTTCAACAAATAAGAAGAAATTTGGGAATATAAGAGTAAACAGGAGATAGTCATAAAATACAGGAGTCTTCTTTACAGGTACACATATAAATAATGACCTTAAAACATATTCCTCCAAAATATAAAGGGCTCCCACTTAAAACCAGAAAAAAAATTTCCCTGACTTGTCCAGACATTTCAAGTAAATTTCAATGAAATCCAGACCATGTTTTATCTATAATAGGGGGTGCACAACCAGAGGAATCTGAACGAAATAAAAAATATTAATTCCAATTTTTTTTTCCTTTAAAAAAATTTGGAAATTTTACATTTATATATTCAAGTTAAAACATCTTTCGATGTTTTAACACATTATTACGAATCGTGAGTAAAGATTCGCTAATTTAGATTACGATTTTTTGACGTGGTTTATTGCGCCAGCATGTCAAGTTATTTTTCAATTGTTGTTTTGGCAATTATTGGTACTATTGCTACAAGGTTTTTAAAGTCCCGATATATTTTATATGCTATAGCGACGTCTTAATTTCGAATACCGCATTTAAGTACATCACTTTTTGACACGCTTTATTTACGTCGATTTTATTGTAAATATGGAAGGATTTTGATAGATTTGTTTGGTAGTGATTTAAGAAACTTCTTATATTTTTAATACTAGTCAGACAGCAGGCAAGTTTTGAATCGTGCATTAAAATAATTACTTTTTGCGTGCGCTATTTGCATAGATTTGAACATTAATATAAGAGGTTTTTTGAAAGTGTTTTTTTCTTCTTTTTTTTCATTATTGTGATTTAGAATATCCTGATATTTAAACACAATATTTGCAAATCGCGCAATTCGTCTGCGTTTATTTATTTATTATTTTTTTTGTAATTTGAAAAGTATTTACGTATCTTATCAAAATCGACACCTTCCTGAAGAGAATTAAAAAAAAAAACAAGATGTGTAAATTTACATAAAACACGGTCTCATTTGCAAAAAAATAATTCAAAACATGTGCATATTTTTTTTAGCCCCATGAACACGTGGAAGTTTAACAGCACACACTTAAACTATTCTTTTTGCTGTCATGTGATTTAAAAATCACATATTGCGATTCGAATTTAGGCGTTTTAAAAATAATACGTTATGATTCTTCTTGCAATTTAAAAGTCGCACATCATAATTCGCATTTACGCAATCTTAAAATTGCACATCGCATTTCGTTTTAACAATAACATGATTTAAAAATCATCCATCGCGATTAGTATTCACGAGATTTAAAATCACATATCGCGATTCGTGTTCAGTCGTTTCAAAAATTATATGTTGTGAGTCTTCTCTCAATTTAAAAACCACATATCACTATTCGCGCCATTTGAAAACCATGCATAGCGGTTTTTATTTGCGCAATTTAAAAATCACACATAAAAATTTGTATTCACGAGATTTAAAAATCAGGAAAGGAAGAACACCATTTGTGATAAATTCCAAAACTGATGAAGTTATTTACCCTAAGTTTAATACTGCCTACACCAGCTTCTGTCAAAAGGCAGTTTTCCTGAATGAATTTGGCCTGTTAAAAATTACAGAGCAGTCTTCAAACAAAATCATAAAATTTTTTTATTTAATAACTCGAAAAAGCTATCGTATGATCAAGTAGATAAAATTATCACAATATTTAAAAACTTTGCAAATGGCAGGATAATGATTAAAAATTTTTTAAAACCATTTTCTTCCTACTTAGACCATTTCAGATCATATGCTGGGAAATGATTTCTATATCATTAAATTTTAACTTTAAAAAATTTAATAAAAATAAGTTTCGAAAAGTAATGTAAATTTTAATTAATTTTAAATATATATGTGTAACTGTAAATAGTAAGTGACATTTTAAAAAAGTATTGGTCATAAGGAATTGAAAACAAGTATCTGAATAGTTTTTTTTTAATAAGTAAAATAATTCCTTCAAAATTAATGTTTTTTTTTTCTTCTTTTACTTCCCTCTCTCAGCCCCTGCCTCTTATGATTAACGTAAAATAAATGTTTTAAAGTTAAAGTATATTCCCGACTAAATGCTAATTCTTTTTAGCTGAAGGGGTTTTGTTTTAATTTTAATCATTTTTAACCCTAATCTTTCTTTAAATCAAAGTATTTAAATTGCATTTTTTTTAATGACAAAATATTTATTTTTTTAAATTTAANAAATTTAATTCTGTGAACAAATTTTTTAATGTTAAAATTCATGTTTAAATGGACTTTTGTATTATGTAATATGATAAAAATAAAAATGATTTTTCCAAAATTTTTAATTATTTCAATTTATCTAAAAAACAATTTCTGATAAATTGATTCTGATTCTGTTTCCTCCCCCTAAGTACTCAGTTTTGCAGTTGCTCATTTTAAACATTTAAAATTATTCAATTTTATGCAAAGATATTACAAGGTTAACTGACAAAAAGAATTTAGTCCCGAGAACAATGATATTTATATAACAATTACTACCAACAATTGCTGCCAACATGTCTGTCTAAATATTTTGGCCTGCATGTGGCCCTTAACTCAAAAAAGGTTGTGCACCCCTAATCTATACCATGTAATTTGTCATTAGAAAACAGAGTTTTTAATTTGTAAGGCTTATTGGGTTATAAGACTATTAGAAGGTAAAAAAAATCATTACATGAGCCAGTTTCCCTAAAATATTATTGAACTTGAATCTCAATCACTGATTACTGTAACTGATAATTCTAAGATAGGTTATTTTTCTGGAATGATACAAGAATTCTCCAGCTTTTTGCCAGAAATTGCAATCTTTCCCGACTATTCCCTGCTTTTTAAAGTTAAA